AAAGAATCTTTGACCTTCCATTGTGTGTGCTCACTGTCAACGGACTGCAGAAAACATACAAACTCACATCTTTCTATGCAGCCCAGGATGTTCAACGGCGATTGGAGCAGATCCGTGCTCTGAAAAGAATGAAAGGTAAGGGTGAGGGACGAAATGTGAAACTTGAGGCGGCTAAGCTCCCTGAATCCCCTGCCCCATCCCCACTGACCCAAGAACGTGTGCCCTGGCTGCATGAAAGCGCAGCATGTGTGACACAAGTGTCCTAGTTGCATGGCTCTGCTTTCCGACACTAGCAAAGGTCGCTCTACCTCCGATCAAAGGTGAACCCTTTCCTGAGACTTTAAAGGCTGCAGGTTCCGAGCCTGAGTTTGCTCCCATGAAGCAGCAGCCAGCTTCCAAGCCTGAATACAGCCAAGACAGACAACCCAGCATGGGGTTTCAAGGGTTCTCAGAAAATGAGAAGGAGTCTGATGAAGTAGCAGGAAATCCCAACGGTGTCGCGGATCTGGTGGAGGCGGATGAGGAAATGCCCAGGGCAGAGCCATGTGTGAAGCAAGACGAAGACAAGCCAGCAGCTCAATGGCATCAGGTAGAGGAGGATGCAAGCAAGGAGAAGCCAACAGCAGGAAGGAGCCAGGAACCGGAGGAGGCAAACAAGGAGATGCCAACAACAGGAAGGAAACCGGAACGGGAGGAGAAGCAAGCAGCGGCAACAAGCAAGGAACGGGAGGAGGTTAATGCGGAGAAGACTGCAGAGCGTAGGGTGCAGACAGAACAGAAGCCAGATCAGCAAAAGGCAGAGGAGCATGATGCTGAGGAGGGCCTCTTAGATGACATCCCCATTGATGGGGACACAGAAGCGGAAACCCCACCAAAGCATGACCTGTCTCTCAGTCCCGGGGCACGTGACAAACGAATGAGACGTGTGTTCACGAAAAAAGTTGATGGAACCTTCAAAGTGCCAATGCGTTTTGTGGAAGAGTATCAGAAAAAGGGTGAAGCCCGAAAGAGTCTGGAAAAGATTCTGGCTTCCTGCGGCTACAATCCAGCCACCCGTCATGCAAACATGAATACTGCGGTCCTCTTGTTGCACCGACGTATTTTTCAAACCAGCTTTATACTGTGAACCCAGGAAGAGTTCATTCAGGAGCTGCATGAGATTGTGGAAACTTACTTCGAGGAGGAGTTGGTGGTTGAGGGAAAGTTCATGACTGAGCAGGCGATGCTCGATGAGGGCATGACGGAGATTCTTGGTTTGATTGTATCTAGATTTGCAATGGTTGGGGAAGTTGGGGACCTTGTCATGTTCCTGCGCTATGAGTCTAAGGAAGCGTGTGGAAGCGATAAAGAAGTATTGCGCCGAGAAACCTGCAAAGTTCCTGAGGTGCCGGGGGTGGGCTACAACAACTTTTGTCATGGTATGAGAACACTGTTTTTTACATCCCCCCAAAACCCCCAGGCCCCAAGCCACATCTAGAAACCCTCTATACCCCTACTTCTCAAGGCCACCCTTGCTGAGCTGCAGGAGAGACAGGTACGAGCCTGGCCTGATCCTGTATTGGACGGAGTTGGTTATTTGAGGTACCCACAAGTACTTCGGCGTGGTTGGGCAAGGAAAAGGTGGAAGATGTTGTATACATGTACTGTAAACGAGAAACATTAACACATTATACGCGGTCATAGTCAAAATGAGCATGTGCAGGAAGAACCCGTTTGATATGCAAATGTAGGATGCTGAATCTCAGGTTTGGGGCTGTGGGGCATATGAGTATATGTTCACGTTACAGGGTCGGGTTTAGGCTTATAATGTTATAGGGTTACGCGGTTGCAGGCTTGCGGGTTGTATAAGGGCGATATATAGGATATATAAGGTTATGAGAGGGTTTATATAACATGGAGGCTTTAGGGTTCAGGCCTCAGGGTTATAGGGCCCAAACACACAAGAATGTCCTCATCTGGCCCAAACCCACCCCATACCCTAAACCCTATAAACCCTAAACCCTAAACTCCCAAAACATTCAACAAAGGAACACATCTGGCCCAAGTGCGGCGGTCACTTTGGTGTAAACCCCTCCCACATACTAACTGGTGAATACCCGGATTCCTCCTGTATATGCAAGCGACTCAGCCCTGCAATTTCTCCCTTAAGCAACACCCGGCCAACTAAGGGAAGGTACGCGGAACATCCGCAGAAGGGTTTCCAGCTTTGAGGCTGGGGGTGTGGCTTCAGCGTCGCCCTCTGGACCAGCAGCTCCCTCACCTGCTGAAGGTCTGGGCATGGAGCATCCACAACATTTGACCACCTCTGACCTCACCTCCTGGCTTTGTTTTGTTTGGGGTAACCCGTAGTTCATGCTTGCCTGAATTCAGGTATCTACATACACATTGTAGGTCGTGCGTTCCCGTGGAAAGGTTTGCAAAGAGCCCTTAAACATTTCTATTGACAGCTATGTAGTGCATCATCCCTGCAGGTGATGTTCCAGAGATTGATGTGGACAAGGAGGTCAAGGCTAATGCCAGCAAGGAGGCTGCCGAAATGAGAAAGCGTGCTGGAGTACCTGAGATCGACCCCGATGCCAAACCTTCTTCGAGCGCTCCCAAGATTGTGTCATGTGCTACGAAGCATGTGAAGAAGCTCGCCGATCTAATTGAAATCTTCAAGGGCATCGACAAGCCAACGGCCATCCAAACACGGAGCCCTAGTTGCACAATCCCATCCTATCACAAATCCCATGGTGTCCATGCATTCATGACCTGTTCGTGCTCTCGTCTAGCCATTGGTCAGGATGTTGGACAAGCTGAACAAGGTTCATGATTCTCTCGATGAAAAGGAGGATGCAATTTCCAATCTTCTTTCAGAAGGCGTGATTGATGGGTTCCGGCGAGAGCCACTTGTACGCAAAGAGTTCCATTCCGCCCTTCCCCCTCCCGAGGCACAGGGCTTAGGATTTAGAGTATGTCCTGCTCTCCAAAAGTATGTAGACCAGTAGGGTTCCGGGCTGTTGTTTATTCTCTTTTTCGGGTTCTGGTGTAGCCCAATACAGACCCTAACAACAATATAATGATGCCCTATTGAATGTTAGAACCCGGTTAACCCCGAACCCTCACTGAGTCCCCAAAGTATGTGTATATACACTTTTTGGCTCTGGGGTTTTGGGCCAAGGGTTTACCTATATTTCTCAAATTGCCAACAAAAGCTCTCAAAGAACCCTAAATGAACCCAAAACCCCAATTTTCATAAGCAGCTGAGGGATGAAGACAACCTACGAATGATGACTGCCGATATCCAGAAGCTGCCTCTTGATTCCAAATATTTTGTCCATGGATCGAAGTCGACGTCTGCCTCACAAGGTGTTCTTATGAAGTTGGCTTGAAGTGTTTTGAGGCCCCCTTGATACTCATCTACTCACCATTGCTAGCTTTTGATGGGCAAAAGCCAAGGGCTGTGGAATCTCTGGGTGCGCAGAGTCGGGCCAGGAGCAGGGTTTCTAGGGAAGCTAGGGATATCTTTACGGGGAAGGGATTGAGGTTTAAATGAAATTTGCCTTGCTAATCCCCAAAGCACGCTACCCCATATAGGCCCAAAGGGATTAACATGCTTCACGATCGGATACAGCTCCCGCTCACCACAGACAGTTGGATAATTTCTGTGTGAACAGGGGAACTTCTTAAGCCCTATATAAACCCTATAAACCATTTGAGCCCTATCTGAACCCTATGTAAACCTTATGAACCCTTTGAGCCCTATCGACCCTACAGACCCTATAATAGCTGCTATAAACCCAAACACGAAACCCAAAACCCACCCCCCGCACTGGCAGGACCTTGCTTCCCAAAGGTGCCCAAGCAACGGGGCAGAACAAGGCAGCACCAAAGGTGCAGCTTACCCGGCCCAAGCGTAGTGAAGCCCCGTCAACCCCCAAGCCTGCTGCTAAGAAGCCTAAGAAGTGAAGTTTTGTTGTTTGGAGTTTGGGTCAATGGCTGACAGGGATGCTTCCATAAATGCAAGATGAACTGCAGAGCTTCTCCTTTTGACCTAGGCGGGTTCGAATGTGGTATGTTTGAGCACCCTGTCTACAGCCAAAATCTCTATAGATGAGATGTCTGGGTACCGCAGTTCCTTAGACGAAGTCGATGGCGGCGCAAGGGGGCTTCCAAAAGATGTGTATTCTCTGCACTGCTCTGTGATGAAATCCTGCGCTTCAGAAAACCTAAATGTAGCTTTAGAGGTTGAAATTTTGCGTGCCAGGCAATGTCAAAGAAGAGCCTGCTCGGGAACCTCAAGCAGGTGCACTTATGCACCGACTTGCTGAAATGGTTGGTGACGGCGCTACTTGTCCTACTTGGGCTCTGTCCTTCTTTTGTTAGTGGGTATTTTTTCGAGTGTTGTGGGGCTTTACGGGCTTCGCGAAAGGCCGACTAGTTGCTTATGAATGTACATATGTTAGTACGTGGAAGCCTTTGCTACAGATCCCATTGCCGTCAATAAGCTGCAAACCCCAAAGCTTTGTCATCCCAGGCTGCTTGCACGGACCTTGTGCGGGTCAGCGAAGCTGCGCGGGCAGACGCCTGCGCTTGCGATGCTGTGGCACTTGCAGCTTCTATTCCCGAGAGAGATGCAGAGAAGGGTGCGCACAAACTCTTGAACCATTTTGGCTTATCCCTAAGGGTCAAGGTTAGCTGGGTGGCTCTGGACTTGAATGGAGAACTTTTGCGAATCCCGTATCTCAAGCCCTCTGATTATCTAAAGAAGCTCCTGGATTGGTACCCGGATGTTGTGTGGGGCGATGGCGTGAAGGACAGCTCCCAAAGATGCACTTCCTTTTGGAAGGCTTACTATTGGTCCCATCCTACACACAAGGCCTTTTCAACCTTCAGTTACAATGGCTTGGGCCAGCTATTGCCCATACAGCTGCATGGCGATGAGGGGACAGGATCCAAGAAACAACCCGTCAGCATCATGAACTGGCAAACTGTGTGGGGCCGGAGTACAAAGAAGACTGAACACCTTCAAGGTGCAATTTTTGGGGCCTGCCAAGCATGTTCGGAACCATCCAGCATCGAGCGGTGCTGCACGGTGCCTCAGACTTGCCCAAAGGGAACTTGTGCAAGCATGCAACTGACGAGTGAGGATTATAAGGAGCTTCAGGGGCAGTTGCCTACATCAGCAGGGCATTCTTTCTTGCAGCGGCATTTGGTGTTTGTCCTCCCTACAAACCTGGTGAAAAAAGGGCCGGAGGTACTGGAGGCAGTGCTATCTGCCTGCGCTGCCGACTTAGAACATCTCTTCAACTTCGGGGTCAATGTTGGAGGCAAACAAGTGTTTGCTGCTGTAGTTGGCTGCAAAGGTGATGCTAAATGGCACGCTGCTACTGGGCATTTCACAAGGTGCTACAGTCGCCTTGGCGACACGAAGTCGTACCCCATATGCCCAGAGTGCTTGGGTGGCGACCCTGCTTTTCCGTTTGAGGCGACCAACAGCGAACCTGGTTGGGTCCAGACTCTTTATGAAAGTGTGCCATGGAATGATCCTGGCCAGCTTGAAAGGATCCCATTCGATCAACACTTCCCTGCGCGGAAGTACAAACGTGATCTCCTACACGTGTTCAAAATCGGGCTTGCTCGAGACATTACTGGCTCAGGCATCGTGTTCCTA